CAAGTTTGGCAACTGTTTCTGCACTACTCTCAGTAAAAAGTCATATTCAGCCAAAGCAAGGAGGGAGCCGTGGGTACCCTGTTTTGCTTGTGCGTGTGTGTCCCCCTTTCCCAATCACATGCTCGCGTCTAATTCACTAGGGCTCCATCTCCCTTATAGGAGGGTGACTCATTAGGTTAATGCAAATCAGAGAGCAGCAGCTGGCAATGAAGTGCTGGGCTTGGGGGAGAGGAAGGCCGCTTCTTAGAGGAAGGCAATCCAAGGTCCCACTCCCCATCCTACATCTGGGCTGGCCCAGGTAGGAATCGGAGGGCCTTCTTGGGCAGGACCAGAGAAAGCAAAGTCCTTCCTTTTTCCAATGAGAAAGGAGAGAACTGGGTGGTGGCGGGGGGTGGTGGGGGTGCCATGGAAACCTGCTTGCTAAAGCTTTCCGTGGGGTGGGGGGGGGAGGAAGGGTTTTGCCTCAATCACTTTCAGTAAATATATTATGTCGGCTCGGTCATGCCTGGGTAGCTCCGTTCGTGTTGTGCAGATCTGGCTTGTTAATATTAGTAACCTTGCTCGAGTACACTCACAAAAGTACTTTACTAATTGAGTGGAGTGTGTGTGTGTCAAAGAGACCCCAAAGTAAAGGCACAGATATAACCTCCTGGAGGTTTTTTGCCATCTTCTGGGCGTAGAACAGCTGTCACTGGGGCTGTGGGGGGGATGTTTTTGTGAATTTCCTGCACTGTGCAGGGGGTTGGACTAGATGACCCTGGAGGTCCCGTCCAACTCTATGATTCTATAAGGAAGGGTGGGGGGAACAGAACAACCTTGTGAGTTTAATAGAACATGACACCAGCTGCAATGAAAAAAGATCGCTACTTTGTGAAGTATTTCCCTTTGGCAGAACAGGAACAGAACTGCAGCAAAAGAAATCCCCATTTGCCCTGAAAATCGCTGGGTGGCCTCGGACTGGTCTCTTTCAGTCAGCCTATCCTACCTCACAGGGTTGTTGCGAGGGGGGAAATGAAAGAGAGGAGAGAGCCATGTATAAGCCACCCTAAGCTCCTTTTTTATTTTCTTTATCTACTTCATCTATACCCCACCTTTCTCCCCGATGGGGACCCAAAGCCGCTTACGGCATTCTCCTGTCCTCAATTTTACCCTCCCCACAACCCTGTGAGGTAGGTGAGGCTGAGAGCATGTGACTGGCCCCAGGTCACTTAGCAAGCTTCCATGACAGAGTGGGGATTCAAACCTGGGTCTCCCAAATCCTAGTCCACCACTTTAACCACCACACCACACCGACTCCTTGGAGAAAGGGCAGAGTGAAGAAGAAGAAGAGATTGGATTTATACCCCGCCCTTCACTTGGAGTCTCAGAGCGGTTTACAAACTCCTTTCCCTTCCCCTCCCCACAACAGACACCCTGTGAGGTAGGTGGGGCTGAGAGAGCTCTGACAGAACTGTCCTTGAGAGAACAGCTCTGACAGAACGATGGCTTGCCCAAGGTCATCCAGCAGCTGCAAGCGGAGGAGTGGGGAATCAAACCCGGTTCTCCCAGATTAGAGTCCGCACACTTAACCACTGCAACCAGTGAACCACTAAGGAACCAAATACAACTGTTAAACCGTGCAGAAAATATAAGAAAATACATTTTTGTCAGTTTGGCTATGTGCACCCTACTTTCCTATTCAATGGAATTGGGGTTAAAAAGGACCCCCACACCATCAGAGTGTACAATAACATTTATTCCCCCCCCCCAAAAAAAAAAATGATAGGGAAAACCATAGGTCATTTGGTCTCATTTGAGAAATACGTGGAGTGCATGCTCATAGAAGATGGCAAGCAAAGATTTATACACTTCCCCCGCGCTTTTCCAGGTCAGTTTGACCAAGGGTTGCCAGACCCCCCCTGGCCATAAGGGGGCAGGGTTGCCAGATCCAGGTAGGAAAACTGGATATTTGGGGATGGAGACCGGGGAAGACGGGGACCTCAGTGGGGCACAAGGCCATAGAGTCCACCCTCCAAAGCATCCCTTTTCTCCAGGGAAACTGATCTCTGTAGTCTGGAGATGAGCTGTAATCCCGGGGGATCCCCAGGTCCCACCTGGAGGCTGGCATCCCTAAATGAGAAACAGAAAGGCTGTACATATTATATCACGAGGTGGGATTCATTGAGTTTGACCTCACTTCTCAGTCTGGAGTTTTTAGGAATCTGCGATTCCAGCTTCCACACAACCCTCATTGTGCAGGGCTATTTTTGGGAAGGAACGCACAGGAACGGAGTTCCGGCTGGCTCCCGAGTTGGCCACGCCCAGCAGGAACTCATTAGCATAATAGGCCACACCCAACAGCAGAAACTCATTAGGATTGGCTACATTAGGGGTGTGTGGCCTAACATGCAAAGGGTTCCTGCTACAAAAAAAGGCCCTGGGTTTTGACAACAAACAAAGTAAATAGAATAAGAAGCAAAAGGTGGGTGTGGCTGGATGACCACACTTCTGGTAACGTGGGGTGTGTGGCCTAATATGCTAATAAGCTGCTATCTCAGGGTGTGGCCTAATATGCTAATGAGATTCTGCTGTTGGGTGTGGCCTATTATGCTAATGAGTTCCTGCTGGGCTTTTTCTACAAAAAGAGCCTTGACTGTAGGTATTACCTACCACCCCTACTGCAGAATTGTTGCTGGGCAGACCATGAAAGAATAAAATGTCTTTTTTTTTGAGGGGGGGAGTGCTCGGATCTGAATTTGGAGGCCGGGTGCGGGTTTCTGGAAAGGATGTTTCTCTCGGGCCTCAGTGACTGGTGGCGACCAGCGCTTTCCCTTGTCTTGTCTTTCCCCTGTGGGATGTGGCTTGGCTCTTTTCCAGCACCAGAGCTGAGGCAGTTCCTGGGGCCCAGATTCAGGAGAGGCCTGTTCTCTGAGAGCCGGAGCGGCCATCTTGGTGTGGAGCCAAACATTGGTTGACGTCTGCGGAAAGCTCTGAGGTGTTTTTTGCCCAGGATACCCAGGGGGGGCTCCCAGACCTCAAACCAGCCCCTATCCCTGGGTCACCTGGAACTCTCTCCGACCCACAGACTGACGCCTGATAACTGGGCGCCTTTTGGGGTGGTCTCCTCTGTCTGCCAGAGCTGTCGATGGGGTCACCGTTAGGTGCGTTGATCCGTCGGGGCATGGAGGGCCTTGAAGCAAAGGGCTGGGATTGATATCGGCCAAAGGCTTCATGACTTCCACCCCCCCACCCCCCCAGTTTTTCATTTGGGGAAGCCTGGTGGTATAGGACTCCGTTTCCTTGGTTTCACTTTTTGGTTCGACCGACTAGGGGAAAAGTTGAGTCTGCCCCAGAAGCACAGGGCCTTTCCAGACTACCCTCCTCCCAACCCCCTCCCCAGTTTTCTTTTCCTTTTTAAAAAAAATTATTGAAGCTTATATACATAATCTTACATTAAATCACTGTACAATCATTTTACCCCCCTCCCCCATTCCCTCCTTATAGTATCTTCATATTTTTAACCATGTGCACAGATTCTTCGTTCGTATTTGGATATTTGGATTGGCTTCCCCCCTTTCCGCCCATTCCTTATATCCCACCCATTTATTTCTAATCTTTTGACATTTCTCCTCCCATGTCTCTTCAGTAATTATCTGTGCAAATATATCTGATTGTACGCATTCAAAGACATAATTATTCCAACTTTCCATTGTCCATTTGTGCCTATCCCTCCATCCCAACCCAGTTTTCTTTTCCTGAAAGTTATTCTAGCCCAGTTGTAGTTTTAGTGCTTCAAAGTCCTATGTACTTGGGGGGGGTGGGGAAATTATTAATTAATTAATTCAAACATTAATTAACTGCCTTTCTTCCTTACGGAGCGGCAAGTGGCATGCAGTGTTGATAGAATAGTGTCGATGTGTGCATGTTAAGTGCCGTGAATTCACTTCCGACCTATGGCGGCCGTATGAATTATTGACCTCCAAAACGTCCTATCATGAATAGCCTTGCTTAGGTCTTGCAGACTGGGGGGCGGGGCTTCCTCGATGCAGTCAATCCATCTCACGTTGGGTCTCCCTCTTTTCCCGCCGCCTTCAACTTTCCCTAGCATTGTCGTCTTTTCCAGTGTCTTCTCACAATGTGACCAAAGTACAATAGCCTCAGTTTAGTCATTTTAGCTTCTAGAGAGAGTTCCGGCTTGATTTGTCCTAGAACCCTCTGATTTGTCTTTTTGGCAGTCCACGTATCTGTAAAGCTCTCCTCCAGCACCACATAGGGTACATAAAAATACATAGAACCAGAATTTAAATCACAATTTAGGACTGCTTTAATCAGTTGCAGAGCCAGTTTGGTGTAGTGGTTAAGAGCGGTGGACTCTAATCTGCTGGGTTTGATTCCCCATTCCTCCACATGTAACCAGCTGGGTGACCATGGGTCAGTCACAAGTTCTTTCAGAGCTGTTCTCTCACGAGCAGTTCTTGAAAGAGAACGCAATGAGAAATTGCTCACCCTGTACGCACAGGGTTGCAGAAAACGAATTGCCATACCTCCTCCTCTCCCTTGTCCTTTAAAAAAAACCATTTACTCTCCATCCTATCTGCCCATCTGTCCGTCTCTCACCCGTTCGGTTTAAGGCAGTCGTCATTGAATTTGTGCTGAAATAGGATAGGTAGAGAAGCCGTAGGTGCTCCTGCCAGTGGATGGAGGAAAGCTGAACCACGGAGTCAGGGATCTTGGTGTAGTGGTTAAAAGTGGTGAACTTTAATCTGGAGAACCAAGTTTGATTCCCCACTTCTCCACATGCAGCCGGCTGGGTGACCTTGGGTCAGTCACAGTTCTCTCAGAACTCTCTCAGCTCCACCTACCTCGCAAGGTGTCTGTTGTGGGGAGAGGAAGGGAAGGCAATTGTAAGCTGCTCTGAGACTCCTTCGGGTAGTGAAGAGTGGGCTATAATAACGAACTCTTCTTCTTCTTCTCAATGCTCATCCCCGTTTTCCCTGCTTTTCTCTCTTTCTCTCTCTTAGAAATAAGAATGTCTAAGCCCCTGGAGCTGGAGAAGGCGCGACTGGACCTGCAAGAGGAGCACACAGGTAGCAATACCTGCCGGGGAGGGAATGAAGACTTAGTTATCACTTACAGGTTAAACAGGGGTCCCCAACCTGAACAGGGGTCCCGAACCTGGGACAGGGGTCCCCAATCTTTCTGAGCCTACGGTCACATTTGGAATTTTGACACGGCACGGTGGGCGCAACAACAAAATGGCTGTCGCAGGAGGTGGAGCCAGCCACAGAACGATTGCCACAGCTTAATTTCAGCCACACAAGTGGAGACCCTTGTGCTGCGGGGGCAGCTGCTGCCGAAGCAACATTTTTTTAAAAATTGCACAGCCAATCAAATCTCCAGTAGCCAATCAGAAGCCTTGGTGGATGTCGTGGGCGGCGGCTAGCGAGGCTCTGCAATGGCTGCCACCACTCTGGTATGGCCCTCCTCGGGAGGGCCCAGAGTACCCACCCTACCCCTTTATACACTCCTTTTCCAGTAGGTTTCCCTCGATACGTGACCGAATGAGGTGTGAGGAGGACCCAGGCAGAGTAACAAACTAGTGTTATCAAAGAGGCTTAACAACAACTGTGGTTACCCACATACGCCTGCTAGTCAGCTCCGATCGTCAGACCAGGGGGGTTATTAGTCGTTACTCTGCTCTGATCCGCGAGAACTGTTTCAGCTCGGGACTGGGCCTTCTCGGCGGCTGCTCCTGAACAGGCTTCCCAAGGATGTGAGGAAGGCTGTATCCTTGCCAGGGGTCATTTCGTAGAAAAAGAGATGCAGGAGCTCATTAGCATAACTCATTAGCATAATGACATGATCGAGGTTTATAAGATTATGCATGGGAAAGAGCAGGTAAAGAAAGAGGTACTTTTCTCCCTTTCTCACAATACAAGAACTCGTGGGCACTCCATGAAATTGCTGAGCGGTCGGGTTAGAACGGATAAAAGGAAGTACTTCTTCACCCAAGGAGTGATTAACACTTGGAATTCACTGCCACAGGAAGTGGTGGGTGCTACAAGCATGGACGGCTTCAAAAGGGAATTAGATAAGCATATGGAGCAGAGGTCCATCAGTGGCTATTAGCCACAAGGTATAGCTAGGGGCTCTGGGGCAAGTGATGCTCTGTCTTCTTGTTGCTTGGGGGGGTCAACAGTGGGAGGGCTTCTAATGTCCTGGCCCCACTGCTGGACCTCCTGATGGCACTGGTATTTCTGGCCACTGTGTGACACAGAGTGTTGGACTGGATGGGCCTTTGGCCTGATCCAACATTGGCGTCTCTTATGTTCTTATGTGCATGCTGCCTTCTTCTGGCAATATTCCATCCAAAGAAATAGACTTTGTTGGTCTTAAAGGTGCCACTGGATTCATACTTTGTTTTGTTAACCACAGTTAGTCTTAAATACGGTTCTGCATTCTGTACAAACATGGACATCGTAGCTTACTCCTGGCTAGGGACATATGAACACCTGCCAGTTTGGCTCATGCTCTGTTCACTGATCACAAGCAGGGACGATTTTTCGAGGACTGGTTCAGTAAGTCATCAATCTGTTTGCCGGTATTCAACATGTTGCTTCACTGTATTTATTCCTAGCCATGCATTGCGACTGAGGGGTGACATGATTGAGGTTTATAAGATTATGCATGGGAAAGAGCAGGTAGAGAAAGAGGTACTTTTCTCCCTTTCTCACAATACAAGAACTCGTGGGCACTCCATGAAACTGCAGAGCGTTCGGGTTAGAACGGATAAAAGGAAGTACTTCTTCACCCAAAGAGTGATTAACACATGGAATTCACTGCCACAGGAAGTGGTGGGTGCTACAAGCATGGACGGCTTCAAAAGGGAATTAGATAAGCATATGGAGCAGAGGTCCATCAGTGGCTATTAGCCACAAGGTATAGCTAGGGGCTCTGGGGCAAGTGATGCTCTGTCTTCTTGGTGCTTGGGGGGGGGGGTCAACAGTGGGAGGGCTTCTAATGTCCTGGCCCCACTGCTGGACCTCGCTCCTGCAGGAAATGACCCCTGATCCTTGCAAAGATTCTGGAGGCTCTGTAAAATGGAAATATTCTTGGTGTGCGGTTGATGGCCAGTTTGGTGTAGTGGTTAGGAGCGCAGACTCTAATCTGGGAGAACCGGGTCTGGTGCCCCAATCTCCACATGCAGCTGCTGGTGTGACCTTGGGTCAGTCACAAGTTCTTTCAGAGCTGTCCTCTCAGGAGCGGTTCTCGAAAGAGCTCTCTCAGCCCCAGGGTGTCTGTCGTGGGGAAGGGAAGAGAAAGGAGATTGTAAGCCACTCTGAGGCTCCTTCGGGTAGTGAAGGGCAGGGTAGAAATCCAGTCGTCTCCTCCTCCTCCTCCTCCTCCTCCTCTTCTTCTCGACTGGAGATGTTGGTCTGCTTCTTTTTATGCCTATATCTGTGAATTGGTTGACTTCATTGGTACCCTGCCTTACTTCCCAAGGGGGACCCCAAAGCCATTTACACAATTCTCGTGTCCTTTATTTTATCCTTACAACAAGCCCATAAGGTAGGTCAGGCTGAGAGTGTGTGACTGGCCGAAGGTCACCCAGCAACCTTCCATGGCGGAGTGGGGTTTCGAACCTGGATCCTCCCAGATCCAAGTCCGAAACTCTCACCACTACACCACACTGGCTCTCTGTTTTTAAATGTTAAGTTTGTTTTAGTTGGTACCAGTTGCTCAAGAGGTTAATTAGTTTTAATTGATGTAATCTTCCGAGTCCCGTTGATCAGAAGAAAAGTGGAATATACATATCAATTTAAAAAAAAAAGCAAAAGCACCCTTCACTATGACCCTTGGAGGTGAAGGATGGGGATGTGCACATGGATTTATGTTGCAAGAATCTCTCTGGAGGGGGCAGTGTATCTTCGGGTTGCTTCATGCTCCCCCCACTTCCTAGTTAACCAGGATGGGGTTTTTTGTCCCATAGAATTGGGTATAATGGGATATTTCCCACTCAATTTATCCGCCTCCCCTCCTTACACAGCCCCTGTTTCACAGTTCCTGTGATAACCTTTTTGGGTGGTCCTTTCTCCCCTTTTTAAAAAAATCAGCATGCATGCCATGCAAGCTATGGTTTGGTGTAGTGGTTAAGAGTGGCGGATATAATCATTAATGAAGTTAAGCACATAGACGCTTTGATCTAGAGAGATTTAACGGATTACCCACTTCTTAACACAATCGTGGCAGCCTGGCCCTGAATACTGAGTTGCATCGAGGACAGGCAAGCTGTGAGGGCCCTGACTGGATGGCCAAGGCTAGCACAGTCCTGTCAGATCTCAGAAGCTGGGCAGGGTCGGCCCGGATTAGTACGTGGAATGGAGGGCTCTTTTTGTAGCAGGAGCTCCTTTGCATATTAGGCCACACACCCCTGATGTAACCAATCCTCCAAGAGCTTACAGTAGCCCCAGTAAGAAGAGCTCGGTAAGCTCTTGGAGGATTGGCTACATTAGGGGTGTGTCGCCTAATATGAAAAGGAGTTCCTGCTGTACAAAGAGCCGGACGGTTATATTATAGAAAAAGAAAAAGAAATATGCAACTCAGAGGACCTGCTTAAATTTTTTTTTAACATATTTCAGCAAAAAAGAAGCCACAATATTAACAATTACAAACATACAAAGGTATAAGCACACCTCGCCAGGCACAGGGAAGTAAGAGGGAAGTAAATATCAACCGAGATACAAAACACATTGATTTCTTCCGCTAGACCTACGGTGCCATCGTAACACCGCTTGCTTTGGAGGAATCTCCACTGAGTAGACCTGATTTGGAGTGTGTTGCAAGCCATGTAAAATGGCAACCAGCAAGAGAGGATGGACTCTAAAATATGCTAATTGTGGAGAGCAGACCTTGATTTTTTAAAAATTGCATTCGATTTCAGATAACACTTTGAATTTTGCTGACATTATCAGCGCTCCCATCTTCTTCAGGCATTCTTGTTTCAAAACATCCGTCTGTGCCTTCCAATGTTTTGCCGCTTACTAAGCCCAATTAAATGTAGTGGCAGATTTCCCGAAGCTTCCTAGAAACATAATCATTAATGAAGTTAAGCACATAGACGCTTTGATCTAGAGAGATTTAACGGATTACCCACTTCTTAACACAATCGTGGCAGCCTGGCCCTGAATACTGAGTTGTATCGAGGACAGGTAAGCTGTGAGGGCCCTGACTGGATGGCCAAGGCTAGCACAGTCCTGTCAGATCTCAGAAGCTGGGCAGGGTCGGCCCGGATTAGTACGTGGAATGGAGGGCTCTTTTTGTAGCAGGAGCTCCTTTGCATATTAGGCCACACACCCCTGATGTAGCCAATCCTCCAAGATCTTACAGTAGCCCCAGTAAGAAGAGCTCTGTAAGCTCTTGGAGGATTGGCTACACTAGGGGTGTGTGGCTTAATATGCAAAGGAGCTCCTGCCACAAAAAGAGCCATTTAGTTCAGTGTTGCTATGCAGAGGCAGGCAATGGCAAACCACCTCTGTCTCTGCCCTGCCCCTCCCTACCCTGGATGGCCCAGGCTAGCACGGCTTGTTAGATCTCAGAAGCTAAGCAGGGTTGGTCCAGGTTACTACTTGGAATGGAGACCACCAAGGAAGTCGCAGAGGCAGGCAGTGGCAAGCGACCTCTGTCTGCCTCTGCGCTGAACTGGATGGCCCAGGCTAGCACAGTCTCGTTAGATCTCAGAAGCTAAGTAGGGTCGGCCCTGGTTAGTACTTGGATGGGAGACCACCAGGGAGGCCCAGGGTCGCTATGCAGAGGCAGGCAATGGCCAACCACCTCTGTCTGTTGGCAGCCAGCCTGGGGGATCCCTATGGATAAAACCCCATGCGTGGAAATGTGCAGGCCCAGGCGACAGGTGGGAATTCTCGTGCTGATTGCCACGCAGAGGACTCATGGAATGCTTTTCTGCTTTGGTTCCAGATACAGAAAGAAATGGACCTGACACAAACCACCAGGTGAGAAACGTTGGGAAGGAGGTATGAAGGGTGGGGAGGGGGAGGAAGCTGTGGGCAAGAATTGCATGCACACTTACTCCGTCTTAGGGTTTCCAGTCTTTTGGCTGGAGCTCTCCCAGAGTTACAACTGATCTCCAGACTACAGTTCCTCTGGGGAAAACATCTGCTTTGGAGGGTGGACTCCACTGAGGTCCCTTCACTTTCTAAAAACTGCCCTCCCCAGGCTCCACCCCTAAATATCCAGGAATTTCCCAACCTGGAGTTGTCAACCCTATAGACAGACCCCCCTCATGGTCCAGGTGGGTTTCCCCCTGATTTCCAGGGCTCCAACCCACCGCAGGTCAGCTGGCTGGCAGGGGAAGCTCCACCCCCAAACAGGCATGTTGCTGTTCGACATCCCTGTCATGATGACATCACCTGGAAGTGATGTCATCGTGTTGCTGACGTTGGATGACGTTCTAGGTTTTGGGCAAATTCTATGGTTTTGAAGGCAAAAAACCATAGAGTTTTGCCCAAAAACTAGAGCATCACCCCCAAAGCCAGCAACACAATGATGTCACTTCTGGGTCACTTTCGCGTGTGGCAGAAGATCCCGGGAAGGACCTGGGAGGATCTGGCAACCCTACAGACCTGCTTGGTCTGTGCTAACCTCCTTTCTCTCTCTCTCTCTTTTCCCAATTTCAGACCCAGCAGAGCAAACCTTCCCCGTTCTCCCCATCCCCAACCAGCACGGGCAGCAAGGTAAGAGCCAGCCTCCCTTGAACCCACTTGCCGCTTCTGCTCTTGCCCACAAGGGAGTGCCCCATTTCGCTTCCAGACTTGAAATGCGGCTGGTATATCCCTGTGGGGTCTCTTCTTCCTATTCCCGTAGTGTTAGAAACATCCGATCGGATGATCCTCCTGTAGCATTGTGCGCAGCCACCAGAGGGAGACAGCTCTTCCCAGCTAACTGCAGAACTGATATCGCTCCACCCTGCATCTCACTGCTCTTTTTATAGGGATGGAGTAGGATTGCCATCCTCCAGGTGGGGCCCAGAGTTCTCCCAGAGTTATAATGAGTCTCCAGAGATCAGTTCCCCTGGAGAGAAATGACTGCTTTGAAGGGTAGACTCTATGGTATTATAACCCACTGAGATCCTTCCCCTCCCTGACCCTCCTCCTCCCCAGGCTCCACCCCCAAATCTCCACAGATTTTCCGACCCAGAGTTGGCAATTGTACTGATGTAGCTTCCCCAGGAAGCACAGGCTGGGGTGCAGCAGAGCAGGTCACAGGCAAGGTTGCAGAGAGTAACCAAAGTCCAGGTGAAAAGTCAGGGGTTCCAGAGAGTAGGGTTACCAAAGTCCAGTCTAGGGTCAAGGTGTTCTAGTCAGCAAGTCCAAGGTCAGGGGTTCCAGAAAAACCAGTTGTCATGTCCAGTAGCAGCAAGGTTGGTAGCACAGTATACTTGTTGCCTCCACAAACTGCTGCTTCTCCCAGCTGAATCTATAGCCAAGTCTTAACAAGCTAAACTCCCAGCAAATTCCTTGGCAGTCATCCTAAAACTACTCATTTGTCTCTTCAGTTGACAGCTGACGACAGGCCATGACTCTCACACTTCTTCTCCTTTCTTGCAACTCTAAGTGTCTCTGACAGCATCAGTGGCTGCAAGGGTGTGGGTGAGCTGGGTGGGCTGGGAGTGGCTTCTGAAGACTTGTTTACTGCTTCAGAGCTACAAGGGGTTGGCTCGGTTTCAGCTGTAGGCTGTGAGTCCTGATCAGCCGGTAACCTGATCTCTTGTTGTTCTCCTGGCTCAGAGCCAGCTGCAGCCGGCTGCTCAGTTACTGGCTGAGGGTTAGCAGGTAGCTCTTTATCTGAGAAATCTGAGTCATCACTCAGCACAGACTGCAGCAACCTCAGATGGGGGTAGCCCTGAGATATCCCTGTGCTCTGGCTTGGTCCTAACTTCCTAGTCCCTATTGTTCCCCTGAGAAATCTATCCCCTGAGATACTAGTCTTGTGGAGTACCAGTAAAACACAATAAAGTGCAGTATAATGCTTTCCCAAAAGCTGGGGGAGAGGGGAAATTATCAACCTGCAGTATTCACCATGTTCAACAGGGGGAGCCAGTTCCCCACCGATGCTTGTAGCACCCATGACGTCCCGCCAGGCTGAACATCCTCCCACCATCCTGCCCTGTTCTAGTTGGGAGCGTCTTCATGGCCCCAGATTTCCCAGGTGTGACCCTTGCGGGGGATAAGCAGCAGTGTTCTCTAACGCCCTCTACAGCAACCTACTGGGAGTTAAATGCCTCAGGTTGTAGCTCAGGGGAAGAGCATTTGCTTGGCATGCAGAAGGTCCTAGGTTCAGTCCCCAGCATCTCCAGTTAAAATGGACCAAGCTGGAGTTGATGTGAAAAACCTCAACCTGAGGCCCTGGAGAGCTGCTGCCAGCCTGAGCGGGCAATACTGACCTTGATGCAACGGCGCTCTGATTCGGTATAAGGCAGCTCCACATCTTCATCTGCCTGTCCTCATTTCCAGCCGGCTAGGGGTGGGGGGGAGAGGAGTCAGATTACAAAGACTGTAATATCAATGAGGAAACATTATTTTGATTTTTGCAAGGCCTCTAGTGCTTGGGGGCGTGGGGAGAGGGGGCTTTATGTCACATGATTCTCCCAGTACCGTAGGTGGTGGGACCATACACAAATAATTAGCAGTGGTAGCTTAAGTCTCTCAATGTATGCATCATCCGCATACACCAGAGGGAGTCCTGCATCAGCTCCAGCCCACCACAAAAATCTGTTGCAAAATTGCCGGGAGGTGGGGGGGACCAATCTGGTTTTTTGGAGAATCACCCTGGAGATTTATAGAAGCCAGCGGCCTGCCCACCTCCTCCCCTCCTCCACGCGCACTCCACGTTCTGAGTACTTTTCAGCATTCTTGATCAATGCATTCATGACACCCTTCTAAAAAAAACCCCATCTCTAAGGAAAAAACCTGCAGAGTTACAAAGCCTCAGGATGGCTTTGGATTCATTCTGCTTCTACTCTAGCCTTCCTTAGGGTACTCAGGCCCAGGGGTCATTTCGTAGAAAAAGAGGTGCAGGAGCTCATTAGCATAACTCATTAGCATGACTTATTAGCATCACTGGAAGCGTGTCAGAAGGCAACACCCACCGCTCAGGCTCCACTGGACTCTTTTGGATTGCTAGCTATTGGGGGGGGGGGAATGTGCAGATCTGCCCTTGCATAGGAGGGAGAGCTTGTACCTGAATAAAACTTGGTCTTAAAGGTGCAACTGGACTGTTTTGGACCGGGGGGGCTCTGCAACTTACCAGGCTGCTTCTTGCTCTGACTGAGGGCTGCTGGTAGCAGGGGGTGGGGCTTGTTGCGTGTTCCCGCCCCCCGGGCTCTTTACTGCCGGAGCACCGCTCCTGTGCGCTCCTGCAGGAAATGACCCCTGCTCAGGCCTAAACAGCAGCAGCAACCTCCGCCCTTTGCCGTGCCTATTGAAAGAGCTGCCACAGAGCTCTCTGGCAAGGGGTCTAAGGCTGCATCCCACAGGCAGTTATTTGCTGGAGACTTGAAGGTCATGAGATAAAGGCGCCATAGCTGGGGTCGCCAACCTCCAGGTGGTGGCTGAAGGTCTCCTAGGATTATAGCTGATCTCCAGGCGACAAGAGATCAGTTCACCTGGAGGAAACGGCCACTTCGGAAGGTGAACTCTATGGCATTCTACCCCATCGAAGTCCCTCCCCTCCCCGAACCCCGCCTTCCTCTGGCTCCACCCCCCAAATCTCCATGTATTTCCCAACCCAGATCTGGCAACCCTATAGCCAATTGATCAAGGGACAACCCGGAAGTTACTCCTCCCGCCACACAGCCAGGGATCTTTGGGGTCCGCCACTTGGACTGATGGAGGCACCCAGAGTTCAGAGCATTTGGAATGTTTTATAGGGTTTTAGGATTATTTAAACAACTTACTTGTGTGTTTTTATTCTTTTATCTAAGCCACCCTGAGTTGGCTTCGGCTGGGAGGGGGAGATATAAATCTGATAAATAAATAAAATAAAATAAAATCTGCACTTTTTTGCACACTCAGGGCCCCAGATTTAATATCTGGCATTTCCTGTTCAAACGACCTCAGGCAGCTGGTGTGGGACAGACCCTTCTGTGCCTAGCAGAAGACCCGTAGCTACGGTGGGGCTTTTTGGGGCTCTACCCCCTTTCTTAAAGCCCCATCAGAATTTCCCCTGTAAATGCTTTTGTCAATCATTTCAAAACATTTTTTAAAAGGTGTGTGCTCCTTTAAGCAGAGTGGAGGTGCTGTAGTTGACTAATTCCCGGACTTAGCAAGGGGGGTTGGAGTAGGTGACCTTTAGGATCCCTTCTAACGCTGTGTCAAGAAACTGGTCTCCTTTAAGAGGGTTTTTTCTGCCTAAGTGTTAGCTTTCTTGCCTATAGACGTCATGACCCCCACCTGCCAGCTTGTGATCAGAATTGTTGCTTCGGCTGGCAGAAGTGATTAACTTGCGGCAGCTGAGAACTGTCATCCAGGGCGGTCGACAGCTTGCATTTCAGAGCTCTATCCTGGCTAACAGGTTCATTTTGGCTAAATGGCTTTTATTTCTGCACCGAGAACTCCAGCCCCACCAGAAAAAAATTTGCCCCGCAAGCCACAAAATCCTGGCTATGGGCAGGCCCATCGCTACAGTGGAGCATTTCGGGGCTAGGCTCCCTGACTTCCTGGCAAGGGCCCCTGACTTCCCATCTAGCCCAGGGTGTCATGGTCTTCTCCCCCAGATTAAATTGACTAGCCAGTGCCCCCTAAGAAATTTAAATGCCCCCTGACTTAAAAAATCCTGGCTACGGGCCTGGCTATGGGCCTGCCTTGGAGAGCGCCAGATGCAGGTCTGGCCTTATCTATTACACTGCCGCTCTGTCAGCATCCCTGCAATGGGTGCTGCCCTCTCGGCTGAACTTTGCTTCGGCTGTGGGGCTGGCCCCGGAGAACTGCCTTCCCCTCCAGTGTGGCGCGCTTTACACACATGAAAGAGAGAGGCCGGGTGGCGGGTAGGCGGGGCAGGACTGTGGGCCGCTTCCCGCTTTTGTTATCAGTGCGATAGAAACTCTTGAATCAAGGCCGGCCCTGGGGGGGGGGAATTCCCAGCGCCCCGGGCTCTGCAGCAAAACAGGAAGCCGCCCGGGCGATGCGCTGGAGAGATATACCACGATAGGTGGTCGGTGGGCGGGATCTCAGCGCCTCGCCGAGCACCCTGTCCTTCCGAAGCAGCTCACATCAGCAGCAGCCTGAGCCTGTAAAATGTGCTTGCGGGGCACAATCGATGCCGGTTGCAGAAACCAATCGGCCCATGCACGGAATTTTTTCCCATTTCCCCCCCCCCATCCCGCACAAAGTGCAGGTGAGTGACCTGCCCTGTAGCATGGCTGTGTCCCAGCTCCGCTGAGCCACCATCCTCTTTTTGCATCTGTCGTGTCAGGCCGTGAATTTCTTACGGCCGCCCTTGAAGCTTGGTACTTCTGGCCCAGACCAGCTCGGCCTGTGAAAACCTTGCGACTTCCTCTTTTTAGTGTTTCCCCTCCGGGCAGGTGGCTGAGGCCGAGGTGGCTTCCTTTAGGCGAGGGATGGGGGGGAGGCTGCGGGTGGGAGAGGAAAGCCGTGACCTTTGTTCCTAAAAATAACCCAGCCCGGGTCCTGGGAAAGAGAACGGCGGGCCACATCCGTCACACCGAGTCCATCAGAAAGGAACCGGAGTGATTCTCTCTTTCCCCTTCTTGCTTTCCCCTGTCCAGATCAAAGCTGAAGACCCCACAGAAATGCCTCCGGCACCGGCCCCCCCAGCCCAGCAGCCGCATCTACCCCAAGCCCAGCTTATGTTAGCTGGCAGCCAGCTGGCGGGGGTAAGTGGATGGACCCCAGCGGTATTCCTGCTCGGCAGAAGCGGTTCCAGAATTGTGGCATGGAAGCCAGTACAGTGGGGGAGTGACCTGATTCTGGGACGGAGAGCCCTGAAGCTGCTTTGACCTCAAGGGGTGAATCGGAGCCCAGCAGAGAGGGGGAAAAGACAACCCCCCCCCCCAATTTAGGTTTGCCAACCTCCAGGGAATCACAACTGCTCTTCAGACGACAGGCATCAGTTCCCCTGGAGGAAATGGCTGCTTTGGAGGGTGGTCCCTGTGGCGCCACATCCCTGCTGAGTTCCCTTTCCTCCACAAACCCTGTCCTCCCCAGGCTCCACCCCCAAATCTCCAGGAACTTCCAGCTTGGAGTCGGCAACCGTAACGGTTGGTGAGAGATCACGGACCCGTGATTCACCTTTGCTTAAGCAAAGCGGGTGGGGCTATGGCCCAGTGGTGGTGGACGACTTGCTCGGCCTGCGGAAAGTCCCAGGTTCAGTCTTCGGCATCTCCAGCTAAAAGGACCAGGTGGCAGGTGATGTGAAAGACCTCCGCCTGAGACCCTGGAGAGCCATGAAGTGGGGCTGTAGTTCAGTGGCAGAGCCTCTGCTTGGTATGCAGAAGGTCCCAGGTTCAATCCCCACCATCTCCAGTTAAAAGGATCAGGCAGCAGGTGATGGGAAAGACCTCCGCCTGAGACCCTGGAGAGTCATGAAGTGGGGCTGTAGCTCAATGGTAGGGAGTCTGCTTGGCGTGCAGAAGGTCCCAGGTTCGATCCCCGGCATCTCCAGTTAAAATGACCAGGCAGGAGGTGATGTGAAAGACCTCCGCCTGAGACCCTGGCAAGCCGCTGCCAGTTGGAATAGATGATACTGACCATGATAGATCAGAGGTCTGATTCAGTAGAAGGCAGCTTCATGTGTTCATTGGTAAGGGAGGGCCTGTGGCTCAGTGATAGAGCATCTGTCTTGCATGCAGAAGATCCCAGGTTCAAGCCCTGGCATCTCCAGATTAAAGGACCAGGCAGTAGGTGATGGTGTAAGACCTTTACCTGAGTGGCTAGGCAAACACCCCTCAAAGGGGTTCCATAGATGGGTTGGACCTTGGGTGAGAAGGAGCCAGGGAGGGGTACCTTTTCTAAGATGCTGGGGCTCAGCTATAGACCTGGAAGGAGAAAGGAGAGGTATTAGGCAATCCTCTGAGGTCCATGGAGTGGCGGCTGAAATTAAAGTTCGAAGCCTGCACTTCTGGAAAGAACCGGAAGTTGGTAAGAACTGGAAGTTGCCATTGGCCATGATTCTCAGCGGATGTAAAGCAGAATTGCTTTTGGACTCGGCTTCTGTTTGGTACATTTTGCACTGGACGTTAGAGCTGGAATCTAGTTCTGTTTTAGGCTGGAAATGCCGGCACCAGTGTTCCCTCTAAGCTGAGTTAGTGTGAGCTAGCGCACTGTTTTATAGCCTCCGGCTCACACATTTCTGTCTTTGCTCAGAAAGGAGGGCTCCAGAGCAAACTAATTCATGCAGTAGCCAAATCGCTCACTCACAACTTTGATGCCAATAGCTCACAAACTAGACTTCACAGCTATGGACTGTGGCGATGTGCAACTCCGATCTTTTTCTGAGGTCAAACATCTTTGCGGGGAGGGGGCTGCAGGTCTGGGGGGGTCCTTCCCTACTGACCTGGTCAGCAGCTGATACTGTGATTGGTGTTTCGAATGGGTCTTAATTCCTGCCCCTCCCTGCCCAAGTAGAACATTGCCTACACTTGTGTCAGGAGCAAAGGGCCTAGAAAGGGGTGCTCCTCGGAGGGTCCCCATCCGTGCCTGTCAGGAACGGGAGAAACGTAGGGTTGCCAGCTCCATTCCCGCCTTATGTACCTTTTCCAGCAGAGCGACAAGGAGAAATTCAACATACCAAACTCCTCCCTTTCCTGTCTGGCACCTCCACAGTGTGAAGTTGGGCTGTCAAGCTCCAAGTAGGGGGAAGTGGAATTCTTCCTGGAATTCCAGCCAGTCTCCAGACTGTAGAGATCAGTTCCCCTGGAGAAAATGGCGGCTTCAGAGGGTGGACTCTTCCGCACCACACCCTCCCCTCTCCGAACTCTTCCCCTACCAGGCTCCACCCCCAAATCCCCCAACCCAACCTCCAGGTGGGCAGCCAATACAAACAACCATGACAGAGTTACAAAGAGCTTATTTTATGTAAATTTCAATGCAATTCACTTATGTTTCTAACATTAATAGATACCAAAGAATTTTACAGTGTCCATAATTCCTCTATGATGAATATAACGCTTAGGTCAAATACCAGTCCATATAGTCACTCTGGACGTCTAATTGTCAACTTTTTCGTCCGTTCAAAGTTGACGAAAAGAAACAAAATTCTTTGGTATCTATTAATGTTAAAAATCTTTGTTGGGTTTAAGTAAAAAGGTAAAGGTTCCCTTGCTCGAAAGCCAGTCAAGTCCGACTCTAGGGTTGCGGTGCTCATCTCCCTTTCAAAGCCGTAGAGCCAGCGCTGTCCGAAGACGTTTCCGTGGTCATGTGGCCGGCATGACTAAACACCAAGGCGCACGGAACACTGTTACCTTCCCACCGGAGTGGTACCTATTTATCTACTTGCAATTTCTTGCTTTTGAACTGCTAGGTTGGCAGGAGCTGGAACTAGAGACGGGAGCTCACTCCGTCATGCGGCACACTCGGGTCTTGAACTGCTGATCTACCGACCTTCCACAGCCTGCAGTTCAGCGTCTTAACCACTTGAGCCACCGCAGCTCCTGGGTTTAAGTAGTATAAGTGAATTGGAAGGAAAAATCATAAAACTGCGACTGACTTATTTCAGCCATGTCATGCGGAAGAACGCACTAGAAAAAACAGTTATGCTTGGATTGGTTAGCAGCAAAAGGAAACCATGAACGCGGTGGCTAGACACCATAAAAGTCGATACCAGCCTGAGCATGGAACGACTCAAAGAAAACAGTACAGGATTGGAAAACGCGGAGAGAGCTGGCCCATAGAATCGCCAAGAGTCTAAACACGACTGAATGGCTAACAACAACAATAATATAAGTGAATTGCATAGAAATTTACTTAAAATAAGTTCTTAGTAACTATATCATGGTTGTTTGTATTGGTTGAAGGGCTTTGAAGGGCAGACTCTATGGCGTTATACCATGCTGGGCTCCCTCACTTCTCCCAAACTCGCTGTCCCCAGGCTCTACCTGTACAATCTCCAGGGATTTCCCAGCCCGGTGCTGGCAGCCCTAACGTGAAGGCCTCTTTCAATGTGGTGAACATGTCCTTGTTGTGTGTGAATTACAAGCCCAGGAACCTCTGTGAGGAAAGGAGTTGGCAACCCAGAGGAATCGGCTGCTTGTCTTGTCTGCTTTTGAGTACTCCAGTGCCTCTGCTGGCGGGGAGGGGGAATGGCGCCACTAACCCGCTGCACCCTCGGGCTCTTCCTGACTTAACGCCTCTCTCCTTCCCTCTTCTTCCTTCCCTTTCTTTCTCACCTGCGTCCCTCCTTCGGCTTGGTCGCCTCCCCCCCACCCCGGCTCACCCTGCTGCCCTCGCCGTGTCCCTTCCCTGCCTTCTCTGCCCCACCCCCCCACCCCGCAGCTCACGGCGCTGATGCCTGCCCAACAGCAACTGCTTCTCCAGCAAGCCCAAGCGCAGCTCCTGGCGGCCGCCGTGCAGCAGTCCAACGCTGCCGCCGCCGCTGCCTCCTCCCAGCAGTCTGGGACTGAGCTATCAGCGCCGCAGAACCAGCCTCAGACGCCGCAGCTTGCTCTGTCGCAACCAATCCAGCTCACTGCACAGGTAAGGGCTTGCGCACCTGAGACCCTCTGGGCCAGAGGAGGAATGGGTCCTGCTCACCTGAGATTATGCACAGTTGCCACATAGACACATCCGGCCCTTGTGCTTGCTCGTCAGGCACAGGACGAGAGGTTTAACAGTCTACGGAGAGACTTCTGTTTGCGAGCACAGCCTGGGCCACGGGGCAGGAATCAGCCAGCTTTCAAAGAGCCAAACGACATCCCGATTCAGAGCCAGAGGGGAACAGGGAGCCGGTATAAGAAAGCCCGTTTGCAAATGGTATCACTGAACATGAAGATTGTCTCAGAGGGTTGCCGTGTTGGTCTGCAGGAGAACAGCTGGAGAGCCAGTGTGGTGTAGCAGTTAGAGTGTAGGTCCAATACAGGCCCGTAGCCAGGATTTTGTGGCTTGTGGGGCAAATTTTGTTCTGGGGGGGCTGGAGTTCTCGGTGCAGAAAGAAAAGCCATTGAGCCAATAGGAAGCTGTTCCCAGGACAGAGCTCTAAATTGCAAGCTGTCAACCACTTTAGATGACAGTTCTCAGCTGCTGCAAGTTAATCACTTCTGCCAGCCTAAGCAACAATTCTGATCACAAGTAGGCAGGTGTGGGTGATGATGTCTATAGGCAAGACAGCTAACAGTTCCAGCCGAAGCAACAATTCTGATCACAAGCTGGCAGGTGGGGGTCGTGACGTCTATAGGCAAGAAAGCTAACACTTAGGCAGAAAAAACCCTCTTAAAGGAGACCAGTTTCTTGACACAGAGTTAGAAGGTATCCTAGAGGTCACCTACTCCAACCCCCTTGCTCAGTGCGGGAATCAGTCAACTATAGCACCCCACTCTGCTTAAAGGAGCATATAAATGAATCAAAAAATAAAAAGTGAAATTTGTTCGAGTCCAGTAGCATCTAGTGACCAACAAGATTTTCAGGGTATCAGCTGTCAAAGGTCAACACTCCCTTTGTCAAATGCAAGGATTCTTGTATCTGATGAAGGGAGCTTTGACATACACACACAATACTCACACAAAAAAAACCCCGGTTGCCAGGACCCTCTTGGCAACTGGTGGGGGGCGCCGCCTAGGCCGGCATTGCAGCAATATGGCCATATCACATCTGGTGTGCCCCAAAAGTGATGTCATCCCACCGCTGGCAATGTGAGGACACTAGTATTTGGGCAAAAACTCTATGGTAGAAACCTTTTTTGCCATAGAGTTTTTGCCCAAATGCCAGAGCGTTCCGTGATGATGCCACTTCCCGTGCACAGCAGAAGTGATGTCATGTCGTCGGCAATGTCACTGCAACGCTGGCCTCCCTCTGCTGCTGGCACGTCCCCCCACTGGCTGGCTGGTCAGCAGCTGGGGGCAGCGACAGGGTCTCGGCAGCCCTACATCAAAATCTTTGCCTGCTATTTCCTTTGTCTGTTGCTTATTCTAGCACCCCGCCTACCCCTCCAATATACCTTAACCTAAAGATTTCATTTCCTTTTCTAAAGAGCCAGATTCCGGCTCTAGAGCTGCAGGGCGCAGACAACTACTGTAGGCCTTACGTAGAGTACAGATTTAAACCGTCCCAAGAAGCATGCTTGGAGGGAAGGCGGCGTGGCGTAGCCCGATCTCATCAGATCGCGAAAGCTAAGCAGGGTCGGTATTTGGATGGGAGACAGCCAAGGAAGACTCTGCAGAGGAAGGCGACACGGCAATCCACCTCTGCCTCTCACCTGCCTTGAAAGCCCCTCACTGGTGTCGCCCTGAGTCGGTTGTTGCTACTTGACGGCACGCACCTCATAAGCATGCATCTTCCCCCAGGGAATCCTGGGAACTGTAGTTTTGGAGAGGGGCGAGAGGGTGCTTCTTTGTGCTCTCCCCAAATGACAATTCCTAGGACTTTCCCATGTGTGTGTGGGAACTCCGTGATGGTTCGGCTGATGTGAAATGACTCTGAAATGTCCAGTAGGATGCCCTCCCAGTGCAGCTGCCAAAATATCTTTTATCAATTGACAGTCCCAAAACCACGAAGACCTTTTACTTTGGCAAGAATGAATGTTTTGGCAGTTTTGGAGGGCAGATATAATAGAGTATCATACTCTAATAGAACATGCAGATGCTCATATGATAAAATCAAAACCATCCAACATATGATCATGGAGTGCCCTATATTCAACGAGTTGAGGGCTAATGCTTTCGAACTATGGTGCTGGAGAAGACTCTTGAGAGTCCCTTGGACTGCAAGGAGATCAAATCAGTCAATCCTAAAAGAAATCAACCCTGACTGTTCCCTGGAAGGGCAGATCCTGAAGCTGAACTCAAATATTCTGGCCACCAAATGAGAAGGGAGCACTCGCTGGAGAAGACCCTGATGCTGGGCAGGGCCGGCCTGAGGTTTTTTTGCACCCTAGGTGGGGCTACCTTCTGGCGCCCCCTGCACACCCAATTATGGGGTTGCCAACCTCCAGGAAGAGCCTGGAGAGAAGGAAGTCCTACTTTTCTCCCCCTTTAGGCAAGCGAGGAGGAGGTGGCGAGGTTTCCAGGCACCCAAACCAAAACACCCCACATTTGGATTTACAAAAGCCGACCCCAGGTGGAGGGGGAAGGCGAGGTGGCCTTGCGCTCCCCTTTTGTGCCCCCCATGCCACGTGGCTGGGAGCTGCAATAGCACACGGGCTTTTGCCAGGGGGGAGGCACAGTTCGGCACCCCATCCAGGGCCCGGCGCTCTAGGCGAATGCCTAGTTCGCCTAGTGGGTGAGCCGGCCCTGATGCTGGGAAAGACTGAAGGTCAAAGAAGAAGGGGACGGCAAAGGCTGAGATGGTTAGACAGTGTCACCGATGCAACGAACATGAAACTGAGCAAACTCCGGAGCACAACGGAAGACAGGAGGGCCTGGCGTGATGTGGTCCGTGGGGTCGCGATGAGTCGGACTCGACTGGGCGACTGAACAACAACAACAAAATCACCCCTTCACTGAAAGATGTGGAATTGCTAAATGCGCACGCCCGGGTGTCATGGCTGCTATTGGACACAAATGATCATGTCACCCTCTGAGTGGCAACATTCATAGGCGCCATAATCAAATGTAAGAGAAATAATACCGAGCAGGGTCTTTTTAAATATTATTTTGGTTCTGGTTTCTGCTGAAGGTGACCGCCGTGTGAGCAGTACTAGATAGATAGCGATAGATGTCCATTATGACTCTGCCCAGCCCACCTTCTCCTTTCCTTCCTTTCCCAGGACATTCAGCAACTGCTCCAGCTCCAGCAGCTGGTCCTTGTTCCAGGGCATCACTTGCAGTCGCCTGCCCAGTTCCTGCTACCACAGGCCCAGCAGGGACAGCAGGGTAAGGAGGAGAGGGGTGTGTGTGTCCCTACGGGTGTTTGGGAGACACCCCCCCCCCTTGGCGTCAAAATGCTGATTTCGCTTAGAGGGTTCGACAAATCGATCGAGCTGCCGAGGGGGACTTTGCGGGGCAAGCCGGTATTCGGCCTCTTCCGACTGGCGCTGAGCCGTTCTCTTCCTTTGTCTCGGCAGGGCTGCTCTCGACACCAAATCTCTTTCAGCTACCTCAGCAAAACCCAGGGAGCCTCCTGCCGAACCAGCCTCGAGCAGGGCTCCCAGCACAGGTGAGTGTGAGAGAGGAGCGGGGCTTCGGGGAGGGGGGGGGTGGTTTGCCAACTCCAGTTTGGTGCGGTGGTTAGGAGCGCGGGCTCTCATCTGGGAGAACCGGGTTTGATTCCCCACTCCTCCACTTGCAGCTGCTGGTGTGACCTCGGGTCAGTCGCAAGTTCTCTCAGAGCTGTTCTCTCAAGGGCAGTCCTCGAGAGAGTTCTCTCAGCCCCGCCTACCTCACAGGGTGTCTTGTGGGGAGAGGAAGGGAAGGAGATTGTAAGCCGCTCTGAGACTCTGAGTAAAGGGCCAGGTATAAATCCAATCTCTTCTTCTTCTTCTGGTTGGGAAGTTCCTGGAGATTTCGGGGTGAAGCCTCGGGAGGGACCTCAGCAGGGTATACCGCCATAGAGTCCATCCTCCAAAAGCTGATATTTCCTCCGGGGCAACTGATCTCTGTTGTCTGGAGATAAGTTGTAATTCCGAGAGATCTCCAGGTCACTGCTGGAGGTTGACAACCAGGAGTCATTTCCTGCAGGAGCGCACAGGAGCGGAGCTCCAGCAGTAAAGAGCACAGGGGCGGGCACATGCAACAAGCCCCACCCCCTGCTCCCAGCATCCCTCAGTCAGAGCAAGAAGCAGCCAGGTAAATTGCAGAGCCCCCCCCGGGTGTTGCCTTCTGACACACTTCTGGTGATGGCAGGGTGTGTGGCATATGCTAATGAGTTATGCTAATGAGTTATGCTAATGAGCTCCTGCACCTCTTTTTCTACAAAATGACCCCTGTTGACAACCAAGGCTCCCTCTAAGCTGTGGAGTCCTGTGAGCAAAAATTCTACTTTGTGAGCTGCTGGCATTAAAGTTGTGAGCAGGTGATTTGGCTACTGCATAAATTAGTTTGTTCTGGAGCCACCCATCCTGAGCTAAGACAAAAATGTGTGAGCTGGAGGCCAAAAAACTGTGAGCTAGCTCACACTAACTCAGCTTAGAGGGAACACTGTTGACAACCCTACTCAGAGGTATAGAGAGGAAGGGGAAAAAATCCTCTTGCGAGTCCTGTCTTCTAACCTCGTCCTGCCTCCTAGAATACTGCCTCGGGCCAGTGCCTCAGTAAAACCAATACTAAAATGGCAAATTTAAAGTACATAAGACGGTAATTAAACCACAGGGCAGGAGGGAAGGATCACTGAATGGATGCCAAACAAAACAAAAGCCTTCACCCACTGACAGTGACAGAAGGAGACAGGCGAATTTCCCCGGGGGAGAGAGTTCCAGAGTTCTGGTGCCACTGCCGAGAAGGCCCCTCTCCTCGGTTGCCACCTGCCTAATCCAAGAAGGTGGGGACACCCAAAGCAGTGCCTCGGAAGATGACCGTAGTGGTCGGGTAGGTTCTCAGGGGATTAGGCAGGGCTATTTTTGGGCAGGAACGCACAGGAACGGAGTTCCGGCTGGCTCCCAAGTTGGCCACTCCCAGCAGGAACTCATTAGGATTGGTTACAATTAGGGGTATGTGGCCTAACATGCAAAAAGCCCTGGGTTTTGACAACAAACAAGGTAAAGAGAATAAGAAGCAATAGGTGGGTGTGGCTGGATGAGCACACTTCTGGTAACATGGGGGTGTGGCCTAATATGCAAATGAGCTGTGCTGTCAGGGTGTGGCTAATATGCTAATGAGTTCCTGCTGTTGGGTATGGCCTGTTATGCTAATGAGTTCCTGCTGGGCTTTTTCTACAAAAAAAGCCCTGGGAGTAGGAAGTCCTTTCGCTATGCTGGTTCCAAGTCATTTTATTGATTGATCGAAACATTCATATCCCACCTTTCTTCTTGGTCTCAGGTGGCTTACAGTAAAAGTTAAAAACATCCCTAGGAGCTTAAAAACAAAGATAAAACAGCAGACCCCAAATCTCTTCCCCCCTCACCTCCATGTAAAAGATGTCTCCCAATTCAGACTCCTTCGTAAGCCCCGGCAAACAGGCAGGCCTTGCAGCGCCTCCTGAAGATCTCCAAGGAGCAGGGTCGCCAGCCCCCCGGGTGGGAGCGAGGGATCCCCCGATTTTGCGGGCTCCTGCCTGCCGCTGGCCGTCCCTAGCGGCCACCACCTGGTGCAACGTCTCCAATGTGATGATGTCACATGGGGACATTCTGGTATTTTGGGCAGAACTCTATGGTTACCATAGAGTTTTGCCCAACATACCAGAGCGTCGCTGGGCGATGTCTCCGGCATGATGATGTCACTTCTGTGTCACATCAGGGACGTTGTGTGCAGCGGCGTTACACCTCCCCACACTCCTGGAAAGCTCCTTCCTACCCCCCACCGGTGAGAGGACAGGCCCTGCCAACCCTACCAAGGAGGGTGCCTCCTCATCTCTTCAGGGAGCTCATTCCACAGAGTTGGAGCCACAATGGAAAAGGCCCGGGCCCTGGTCGAGGCCAGATGGGCCACCCTAAGTGGTGGGATAGCCAACAGATGGTTGCCTGATGACTGTACCTGGCACACAGGGTCACATGGAAGGAGACGGCCTTTCAGATACATGGGTCCCAGGCTGTGAAGGGCTTTAAAGGTAATAACCAGCACTGTGAATTGAACTCAGAAACAGACTGGCAGCCAATGGAGCTGTTCCAAAATGGGCAACATATATTCCCGGTGGCTAGCCCCTGACAGCAGTTGGGCTGCCACATTCTGGACCAGTTGTAGTTTCCAGACTGTCTTCAAGGGTTGCCCTGTCTAGAGCGCATTGTAGTAATCTAGCCATGAGGTTACCGAAGCATGGATCGCCATGGCCAGGTCAGCTGAATCTAGATAATGAGGAAGTCGGGATTTAAAGGTTGACATCGGCACCTTGAATTGTACCCAGAAACACATGGGGAGCCAGTGTAGACGGGCCAAGACTGGAGCGATACAGTTCCATTCTGTTCACGCATTATGTTTGAGTCACGTTTGGTGCGGCCGGTGCCTCATGGATCACTCTTTCTGCGGCTTCTTCCCCTTCCCCAGCAAGTGACTCGGCCTGGCCTCCCCGAGTCCCACCTCGCTCACGCGCAGCCACCCAAATGCCTGGAGACCCCGTCACACCCTGAGGAGCCCAGCGACCTGGAGGAGCTGGAGCAGTTTGCCCGCACCTTCAAGCAGCGGCGTATCAAGCTGGGCTTCACACAGGTACGTGCCCTCAAGTCTGCCAAATCTGTCCCTGTTTCTCGAACTGGAGACGAAGGCCTTCCGTATACAAAGACAGTCGGTGTGCTGTAGCGATTAGAGCAGGGTTCCTTCCCACCTCCCCCCAGCTCTGGTATTCAGAGGGTTACCACCACTGAACATGGAGGTTGCATTGAATCCTGGGTAATAGCCACTGATGGACCTGTCCTCCATGAATCTTTGGAAGCTGAACTAAACTAGTGCCCGCCACTTCACCCTGTGGCAGTGAGTTCCACAAGTTAATCACTCTGAGTGAAGAAGTACTTCCTTTTGTGCATCCTGAATCGACTGCCTGATTTCCTAGTGTTACGGGAGCATGAAAAAATTCTGTTTGTCTGTCTGTCTGTCTCTACTTTTTCCATGTGATGCAATCTGGCCTCAACCTGAAATCCCAGGGTTGGAACTGTGGCATATCCAGCCCTAGATACGCAGGCGGTTGACTTTTTCTGTCCTCCGCTTCCCACATCCCTTCCTCTACAGGGTGACGTGGGGCTGGCCATGGGGAAGCTTTATGGGAATGACTTCAGCCAGACAACCATCTCACGCTTTGAGGCGCTCAACCTCAGCTTTAAGAACATGTGTAAGCTCAAACCTCTGCTGGAGAAATGGCTCAATGATGCTGGTAAGTGTGGAGGAAGGTACAGGAGAGAAGCCGAGGCCTTTTGTGAGCCAATTTGGTGAGCCAGTTTGGTGCGGTGGTTAGGAGCGCGGACTCTAATCTGGGAGAACCGGGTTTGATTCCCCTCTCCTCCACTTGCACCTGGCTGGATGGCCTTGGGCAAGCCATAGCTCTGATAAGAGCTGTTCTTGAAAAAGAGCAGTTTCTGTCAGAGCTCTCTCAGCCCCACCTGCCTCACAGGGTATCTGTTGTGGGGTGGGGGAGGGAAAGGAGTTTGTAAGTGGCTCTGAGGCTCCCTTGGGTAGTGAAGGGCAGGGTATAAATCCAATCTCTTCTTCTTCTTTTACCTCACAGGGTGTCTGTTGTGGGGAGGGGAAGGGAAAGGAGTTTGTAAGCCGCTCTGATGCACCAGACACCAGATTCTTTACAGGCAGGGTTGGAGCCAACTGTGTGGAAACTTAGGTGTGTGTGTGTGTGTGTGAGCCCGGGTATCTTAGAACGATTCCTGGAGCGAATACACAGGGCTGTAGCCAGGATTTCTTACTTTGGGGGGCATTTAAATGTCAGGGGGCACCCCCCCCATAGAGTCCAGTAGTTTGTTGCCAGCCAGACATGCCCAGGGAAGCTGACAGGTAGGGAGCAGATGTGCCCTGTGGTGTGCCTCGCCCACAGCCAGCCAGAGGTACACTGCTGGCAGGCAGGGCAGGTGGCGGCTTGGCACAGCGTGGCCGTGGTGTGTGTGAAAGTTAAAATAAAATAAACCCGCTGGATAGGAAGTTGAGAGGCCTGAGTGGTAAGTCAGGGGGCCCAACCCCAAGGTGCCCCACTGTAGCTACGGGCCTGGGGGGAGATGAGACCTGACAGCACGGTACACAAAGAGTGAAAAAATGTTGTTTTTGAGGCCAAAGAGTGTTTTCCCCACTGAGGAGACTGAGGCCTGGCTGAGGTGGTGAAGGGGGAAAAGGGAAAGTGAGTAGGCCCCACATGGGTCATTGCGGCAGGTCACATCTGACGCAGGAGAAGAAAGACGGGCTCCACAGTTGCAGGCCTGTAGCCTGAATTTTGTGGCTTGCGGGGCACTTTTTTTTTCCTGGTGGGTCTGCCATTATTTTCCATAACGAAGGGCGTGATACATGCCCCCCCCCCCGCACACAATATTTAAAGGGCCATCCAGCTGATTGGTGGGCCACGTGCTCCCCGTTGACCAGCTGGAAGTCCCTTTAAATCTTGTCAGAGGGGAGGGAGAGAGGTGTGCACCCCCCTAATTCTTCTCAAAAGCATTTAAAGGATCCCTTTAAGAAGCAGGGGGTCATAAGAACATAAGAGATGCCAATGTTGGATCAGGCCAAAGGCCCATCCAGTCCAACACTCTGTGTCACACAGTGGCCAGAAATACCAGTGCCATCAGGATACCAGGGGCCATCAGGAGGTCCACCAGTGGGGGTCCCTTTAAGGAAGGGGGAATGGCCCTTTAAGGAAGGGAGCGGAGCCGGTTGGAGAGTGTTTCCCGCTGAGGAAGCTGAGGCCTGCTTGGGACAGGGTAGCAAAGAAGCCATGAGGAGGCCAGAGTGTCCAAGGGCTGAGGGACAGAGTGCTGCCTCATGGCTTGAGGGAAGTTCACTTTGTGGGATGATTGGCCTTCCCAGAGAGACAGATAATGGCCAGGCCGCTTAAACTTTGGAGAGCGTTTCCCACTGAGGAAGCTGAGGCCTGCTTGGGACAGTATAAAGGCAACAAAACAAGCCTCGAGGAAGCTCACGGGAAGAGGCAGGACTGGCCAGAGCGTCTGAGGGTTGAGGGCCAGAGTGCTGCTAAGGGAAGTTCACTTTGTGGGATCAGAGGCCTTCCCAGTTAAGGCAGATAACACCCATGCTGCTTAAGCATTGGCCTGCAATTGCAAGGAAGCCAGCACTGGTGAAACGAGAAAGGCGCAAGCCAGTTAAAAGCTGGTCAAGTGGGGACCTTCTTAAGCAACACAAAAGTGGTTGAGAAAAAAGGAAGTGGGGACCAGAGGGCAGAAACCAGGCCTGGTTGTGGGAGTGAGAGAGGCGGGGGAAACTGTCCGAGGCGACATACCTAGTGGAGGGAACTGGGGGCAGGCGGGGCAAAGTATCTGGACAACACGGTGTGGGTGGCGAATAAACGGCTCATTCTCCCTCTTCCCTCCTCTGTCGCAGAGACAATGTCTGTGGACTCCACGCTTCCCAGCCCCAACCAGCTGAGCAGTCCCAACCTGGGCTTTGACGGGCTGCCGGGTCGGCGCCGCAAGAAACGGACCAGCATCGAGACCAATGTCCGCTTCGCATTGGAAAAAAGCTTTCTCGCGGTGAGGCCCCTCCCCACCCACGGGTCTCATGTAACCTGCTGAGAGACAGACGCTCCCCTCCCCTCCGCCCCCATCCTACCTTGGGTGGTTTCTAATAAGCTGTCCTGAGGATAAGAAATGTGGTGGGGAACAAATGGAAAGAATGGTTTGGTGACCACCTCTTTTAGCACGTTGTCATGTTCATTGCTGCCCAGGGCTTCTCTTTGGCTGACCTAGGCCTCCCAGATCCCTGCAATGTGGGAAGAGAAAGCCCCTGATTCAGATCCGGGAGGGGATTTTAACCCTTCCCCTAGGGTTCCCGGGCCCTTTCGCCTGCCTGCAGGGGGATTGGGGGGGGGACATTCCATGAGTGGGAAATGATGTCCCATCCCCCCATTCACCCCCAGAACAGTAATTTCACACACAATATGCTTGCAGTTGGCAGTAGGGTTGCCAAATGGGCCCAGGGGGTGGGGAATCCCCTGCTTCAGAGGCCCAATTTCCGCCGCGGCGAAATTGGGGCCCAGGGGGAACCCCGCCCCCGAAGCTGCGTCACCAAAGGTGACGCAGCCACGTTGCTGACGTTGGGGGTGTGGCTGAGCTCGTCGGGGGGGGGAACCATATGGTTTCCCCCCCAACGAGCTCGGCCACGCCCCCAACGTCAGCAACGTCGTACGTCACCTTTGGTGATGTGCTGCCGGCGCGCGCATCCATGAAGAGCTCCCGGACGCTGGAAAGGCTCCCCCGCTCCGAGGGGTGAGTCGAGTTGGCAACCCTAGTTGGCAGTGTTGGGGGTGACACTCTGGATTTTGGGCAAGACTCTATGGTAAAATCGGCATCAAACCATAGAGCTTTGCCCAAAATCCATAGCGTCACTTGCCGACGTGCTGTCACTTCTGAGTGACACAGGCATGTTGTGTGCAATGTCACTGTTTAGGGGGGGGGTTCCCCTCCTGCTGGCCAGCAGCAAGCAGGAGCCCGCAAAATCGGGGGATTCCCCGCCTCCACCGGGCCAATGGCGACCCTACCTTCCCTCCCCCCAATCAGCCTGTGACAGCTGCCGTTTTGCCCCGTCTTCTGGAATCACAACTGATCTCCAGACTACAGAGACCAGTTCCCCTGGAACAGATGGTGGTTTCAGAAAGCCGACTCTATGGTGTCACATCGCCGCCGAGCTCCCGTCTCTCCCCAAACCCCTCCCTCCTCCTTCACCCCCAAATTGCGAGAGCGATTTTGCAGCCCATTGTCGGCAACCCTACTCTGTGCCAAAGCTGCCGTCTGAATCGGGAGCCCCCCCACCGCCTTTTACCAAAGAAAAAGCACTTCGGAAATCCATTTATGGATCTCCCAGCACCTCGTTTGGCTCTGCTCCCTGTCCATGCGTTCCAAGCAATTTTCTGTCTTTTTTTATTATTATTAAGTCTGCTTAGCATCCTTCATCCTATCCAAGTGGTCCCCTTAAAAATATTCCATCATTGGTTCTCAGCAGCAAGGGTGGCAGAATGCAGAACAAGGCGATGCTCCATCACATACTGTGTTAGCGGGGAGAAACGGCGCCGATTCCTTGCGTACCCAGGTTCGCCACCGAACGAAAATTCGGGAGCACTGACCTCCTAGCGAACCAAAGCCTTCCCCGCACCTGTACCCCCCCACCTCTGGCCCCTTTGGAGCTCTGTACAGCCGCTTGCCCCTCCTTGTCTACGTAGGTCGCCAACACCGTCCCGTTAACCTCCTGCCCTGCCCCCTCCCACTCACAGAACCAGAAGCCTACCTCAGAGGAGATCCTACTTATCGCCGAGCAACTGAACATGGAGAAGGAGGTGATTCGCGTCTGGTTCTGCAACCGCCGCCAGAAGGAGAAGCGGATCAACCCTTGCAGCACGGCTCCCATGTTACCTGCCCAGGGCAAGCCCCCCGGCTACAGCCCCCACATGGTACGTCCCTGCGCGCCTCGTTTCCTTCGTCCCTTGCACGACCTCTCGACGATATGTGCCTGTCTTGGGTTCCCCTCCCGCTATACTTGGTACCTTCCTGTATACTTTATTTTTTCTTCCTCCCCCGCAACCATGAAAACTCCCTATATCGCATGCATATAATTACTTTGCCCCCACTATAACCCTCTCATCATACACTCCCCAATACTACCCAGTTACGTCAGCCCCCTGAGGGCATATGCCAGACTTATGGGCCTAACTACATGATACGCTGTCCTTGGTTCCATTCAGTGTTCCCCCTAAGCTGAGTTAGTGTGAGCTAGCTCACAGTTTTTTAGCCTCCGGCTCACACATTTCTGCCTTAGTTCAGGAAGGAGGGCTCCAGAGCAAACTAATTCATGCAGCAGCCAAATCGCTCGCTCGCAACTTTTAATGCCAGTAGCTCACAAAGTAGAATTTTTTGCTCACAAGACTCCACAGCGTAGAGGGAGCTTTGGTTCCATTCCCTGGCTCTGGGAGTCCTGTGCTTGGAACTTGTGCAGACCTGATTTGTGTTGGCATTGTGGCCGGTGGTGCAAGGGCAGTTAAGCTCCCCCTGTACTATTTTTCTGACCTGAAATTGTTCTGGGGAGCTGCTAATTTGCCCCATGGAGACGCTTACCTATAGCCCGTCGGTACCCGTTTTCCAAACGAGGGAGTTCTCCGGGGCCATTACAGGTTAGGGAAACAGTGCAAAGGAGGACGGCTTCAGGCCCCACCCCTCGTGGAACATGCCCCAATCCAAACCGAGCTGACACGCACCAGGGAATGAAGTCCCAAGCGTGGAACCCCCCAGAGCACATCTCTTGACCAGACCTGGGGATAGACTTCGGAGCAGTGTATCATATCGTTAGGCCCTTACTTCTCGGTCACAGGGTATGTAGTTTTCTGCCTTCCCTTCTCGGCCTAACCTTTACATGAACAATATACCTACCTGACCCTCATGCGATTTCCCACACACACACCTGCTTTGTCTCTGTTCACTATAACCTCAGCACAGTCCTACTTACCTATCCCCATGGATAAAGCCCACATTTGGGACTTACCTTTGCACTCCCTACCTCATAGTGATGCCATGCTGCTTTTTAACTCTCTCCTTCCGTTTAGGCCACCCACACCTATTCCTCTAGTTCATGGGCGCCCCCTGTCCCCATTTAGGAAGTGTATCTATTTCAGTTGGAGTAGACGTTAATGTCTTATAGAGGTCAGGACACAGGTGCCCATCCTGACTCTGTGTCACATGACAGAAGCCGAGAGCCCCTCTCCATTCACTGCAAGGAGGAAGGACGGGCTTCTTACTTCACTCCTGTGCCGTTTTCCCCAGCAAAAACAGCCATGGGAGGGGCCCTATTTGCCCCTTCCTCTGGCTCCACAAGTCCTTTCTAGTACTCATGAAACCAAGCTGCCCCCTGTGGCTGTTTCCACTGGTGAAAATGGTGCAGGAGAGAAGTGAGAACCCCTCTTTCCCACTCGCGGCACTCCAGAGCTGAATGGAGCACTATTAGGGTGAGATATCCCATTCTTCTATGTGACGGTGAGTTAGGACAGGCACCTGCGTAAGCCTAGTTTGAGCCTCAGAGATTTCCCCAGCATCGTATATCACTGAGTAACAGGAGAAGACCATATTTTGGCAGGGCCACTGACAGAGGGGGACGGGGGGGGGGTGGACGGACGACAAAATCTGGGCCCCTGAAGCCAGCCACATGCTGTATTCACACGGAAGGCATTTCAAAAAAGAAATTCCCCGAGTGCAGTTCCGACTGCAGCCACGAGGGGCGCAGGAGGGCAGAGCTCAGCAAAGAGCTCCTCAGCCCTTCTGCAAAGTTCACCCGGAGGCTGAGGGAACCCCGTTTGCTGATCAGATCTTGCTAAACCCATCGTCAGGCAAGCCTGCACTGGAGCAAGGGAAGACCAGCTGGGACAGGAGGCAGCCTCCTAACAAGGTCGCCGGTTTCCTTCTGCCTTTAGTTCCACCCAGCTCCTCCACAGCCAGATCTTGCTAGGGCAGCCTTGTCACCCGGAAGTGATCATGTTGGGGACATCGGAGGGGTGACACTCTAGTTTTTTGGGGGCAAACTCTATGGTTTTGAAGGCAACCCTAGCCTTGATAGTGTGTGGTAGCAACCCCCCCCCCAATCTTTCCCAAATTCTAATCCTCGCCCTCACCCCTTATTTTTCAGTATACATGCCACCTCACTCATCCTGGCTGGTAATTTAGAATGTATTTAATAGTAGTACAGAAGCAAATCTCTGTTAATATTATGGACAGAAGGGGAGAGTTAATATTTCCCCGTAATCTATTTCTTTAAAAGGATGCCTCCCCCTCCCCCCTTAACATGCACAATAATAAATGTTAATCTGCCTCAGTGGTAACAAATGAGGAACAGAAAGCAACTCCTCTCCTCTGTTTTATCCTGTTTTATCCTCACAACAACCCTGTGAGGTAGGTTAGGCGGAGCAAGAGCGAAAGGCCCGAGATCACCCAGCAAACTTCCATGGCATCAGTGAGGATTTGAACCTGGGTCTCGCAGATTCCAGTACGACACTTTAACCCCTACACGAACACTGTAACCCCTACACGCCCTTAGTTTCCATTGCGAATTGCACGGGGGGGTCTGGAGGTAACCCGGGCCAGGATATTCCCGTTCCTTTCATTTTGGGCTCTGCAATTGCCGTGATCATCCTGAAGCTGGTGCCCCAATTTTGACTTCCCTGGTTTTATTTTCTGATGCGTTACGTCTGCCACAAATGGACAGATGCAGAGGTCATTTCGGGGGGGATCGCGGGGGATCGCAGTTCCCCTGGGTGAGGTACGGGGGGCGGGGCACATGACGAAGCCCCGT